TGAATGATTTCTAAGTCAAGTTTTGGATCGAGCGCCCTTTAAACAGTATGTACATCCTCAGGGAGGAAAAATATGTGAGGCTTTTTTGTTTCCCTGATGGTGTTCATGAGGGTCTATCCCACAGGAGTGAGTGGATGGGCCTGAGAGGAACACCACCAAACATGCTCAGGCCCCACTTTCTCCCTCCCTGTTTGTGTCCTAGAGTGCACTATGCTTTTAAGAGCAGAGGTTTCCAAACAGAAACTCATCAGAAAGCCCACCTTGCCTGGAGGAACCATTCCAGAAGGCGTAAACACTGAGAATTCTTCAGTCAACCTAGTTACCACCTCTTGAGGGGGTGGATTTACTACAGTAATTGTCACTTTAGTAAGTGTGTACGCTACTGCAGCATAGCTGTAGCGCTTGTAGTATAGACATACCTTGAGTAAAGTGTACAGTGACAGCAGCAGAGGCCTGAAACCTCATTGTGCTGTAAACATTCCATTGTAGCAAAAACTCATTTTTGTTCAGAAACATTTTCCTTTGCTTGATATTTGTCAGGGAAGCAGAAGCAAGGAAGCATGTCTCGGAAACCCAAACTTACCTACTTCAATGGAAGAGGACGCATGGAATCAGTACGGTGGCTGTTGGCAGCAGCTGGGGTGGAGGTTAGTCCATAATTTATGAAGGGGTGCTCTTGTTTGGACTCTTTCAGGATTAGCCATGATTTATTTTGTTATGCTGGTGTATTACTCTGCCTTTTGGCTCGTTGTGTCAGAGTTGCTTCCTAAAAGAAGCTGCCTGAAATATAATAATGTAACTAATCTATTTCATCTTTCCTTTTGCAGTTTGAAGAAGAATTTTTGGAAACAAGAGAACAGTATCAAAAGTTAATAAAAGGTAAGACTGCAGACCGGGAATTTTCTACACCCAAAGTGGCATGAGTTTAGCTAAAATTGGGTTTTACATGAGTTTACTTAAACCAGTGTAAACCCTTGTGTGGACACATTTAATTCAGTTTACATCATGTATCAATTCATAAATCACTAACCTTGACCGCCCAATCCTGTCTGGTGCCAAGTAACGCCTGCAAAGTGCTAATCATCCTTCACTTCCACTGGAGCCAGTCGATGTTGAGGGAGCTCAGCACCTCCCAGGATCATGCCCCTGATTATTTTTATTAAATATCTATATTATGGGGGTATCCAAAGGCCTTAATTCAGGTAGGGAGCCCATTGTGCTGGGTGTTGCCATCCCTGCCTTCAGAGGCTTTGAGTCTAAATACACAAACAAATGAAGAGTAGGGGATTGGAGAGACAACATACACGCAGATGAATCTGATGAAGAATTGGCCCAGCTTTGTTAGGTATATAGAATCATAGAAATGTTGGGCTGGAAGGGACCTCAAGAGGTCATTTAGCCCAGGTGCTGTGCTGAGGCAGGACCACGTAAACTTAGACCATCCTTGACAGGTGCTTGTCTAATCTTTTCTTAAAAACCTCCAATGGCAAAGATTCCACAGCCTCCCTTGGAAGCCTATTTCAGAGTGTAAAGACCTTTATAATTAGAAACTTTTTCCTAACATTTAACCTAAATCTCCCTTTTTGCAGATTAAAGCCCATTACTTCTTGTCCTATCTTCAATGGACATGCAGAATAATTGATCACAGTCCTCTTTATAACACATTGGAAGGTTGTTATCAGCTCCCCGCTCAGTCTTCTTTTCACAAGACTTAACATGCCAATTTTTTTTTAAACTTTCCTTATAGGTCAAGTTTTCTAAACCTTTGATAATTTTTTGTTGCTCTCCTCTGGACTCTTTTCAATTTGTCCACATCTTTCCTAAACTGTGATGCACAGAACGTGTACTGCAGCTCTTTTATTGAGGATTAGGGGCAGGGAGAAAGGAAGGGAGTAGGAAAAGGAAAAGGAAAGACAGGGAAGAGGAGGAGTCCATTTGTCACCTGCCTAGTCATGATCAGCAGGCTGGGTTTCACAGACACCATGGTGGAGGCGAGTCTTAATGAAGGATTTGAAGGAAGATAAGGCTATGTCTTCACTACCCGCCGATCCGGCGGGTAGCAATCGGTCTATCGGGGATCGACTTACCGCGTCTCGTGAGGACGCGGTAAAATCGATCCCTGATCGCTCTGCCGTCGACTCCGGAAATCCACCTCGGCAAGAGGCGGCAGCGGAGTCGGCGGCAGCGCGGCAGCGGTCGGCTTTCCCCCGTCCTCACCGCCAGGTAAGCCGACCTAAAATACGCAACTTCAGCTACGGTATTCACGTAGCTGAAGTTGCGTATCTTAGGTCGGAACCCCGCTGTAGTGTAGACCTAGCCTCAGGTAGTTGCTATTCCGATTTTTTCAGGGAATTTTCCCCATGCATAAGGGTCAGTGCGGGGGGGAAACACAAAGCTGCATAAGTGGGTGTTAATGGCTAGGATTGCTGGTGGAGTCTAGATGGGAGTTGACATCACAATAAGTTGCTACATTAGTTAAATAAGGCCTTAAAGACAAGAAGCTTATCTTATCTGATAAGGGGGACCCAATGGAGGGGTTCAGAGGGATTCAGAGGGGGTCGGTGTGGTCAGAGCAATAAGCCAAGCAGACGATTTGAGCAGAAGCTCTCTGAATAGACTTAAGGGAAGCAAGGTTGCAGTAGTCAACATGTGAGATGAGAGCTTGGCCAAGAGTTTTGGTTGTATAGTCAGAGAGGGAAGACTGAGTTTAGAGATAACAAGGAGTCTGGTGGGAGCTTAAAGACTAACAGATTTATTTGGGCATAAGCTTTCGTGCATCTGAAGAAGTGAGGTTTTTACCCACGAAAGCTTATGCCCAAATAAATCTATTAGTCTTTAAGGTGCCACCAGACTCCTTGTTGTTGTTGTAGATACAGACTAACACGGCTGCCCCTCTGATACTTGAGTTTAGAGATGTTGTGTAAGAAGGAGTGGCAAGAATTAGAAATGGCTTGAGTATGGGGATCCAGTGGGAGGGCCACATTATAGTTCATATTACTGGCCCAAGTGACTGGGAGAATGGTAACAATGTTCATGGTGAGATGGGGAGGGCTTGTGGAGGAAGATCAAGAGCTCATCTGAGTTTAACATTTTGTTAACGCTTAACCATTGTTAAACAGTGAGTTAAAGATGATGACTAAAAATCCAGAAAGACAGGCTACACTACTAGATTGGTTGAAGGGAGATAGCTCATCATGAGAGACAGAGATTTGTAGGTCATCAGAATCAAGAAGTGGAGCCTGGCGTAGAGCTTTCCTTACAGGTTATGGACTGACTGGTAAAAGCCCCCTTTTTCTCCTCCCTCAAGATTTTTTTCCCCACCTTCCTGCAACCTTGGATGTGTGTTTGGCTTTTATCTTGTACACTGTAGGAAGTAAGAACGGGTTTGAATTTGTCCCCTCTTGTTTAGTGTTCTGATCCCACCTGTCACTCATGTATTTGTTATACTGAGGACTAACACAGAGGTATTCTTTGGTATTAAAAGAGGGCTGATACAGTAGGTATTATTTAAGACTTGGAATATAAATGAATGCTCATAAAGGAATGTCTCAATAACTTCCCACGGTGCAAGAATGATTCTTGTCTTAATGCACTGAGCTCAACTGCTATACTCCCCGAAAGCAGGCATATATTTACCTTGTAATAAGAGTTTATATTTAAGCATATCCTATTTTCTTGGTATAGCTGTTCAGTGTTGAGTGATATGGCAGTTGACTGCAGGCTGTTGTTTCAGTGGCTTGGGCGTGTAGGGATTTGTCCAGGGCGGAAGGTATGTTTAAATAGGTTTGTCAGTTACAGATTAGGCACCTGGGGGTACTCCTACACAGCAAAAATACCCTGCAGAGCAAGTCTCAGAGCCTGCACTGCCAGGCTAAACATAGCAGTATAGATATTTGTTCTCAGGCTCGAGCCCAAGCTCTGAAACGTAGTGATGGGGGAGAGTCTTGGGGCTTGGGATCCAGCCCAAACCCGAACATCTACACTGATATTTTTTAGCCCTGCAACACGAGCCCTGTGAACTCAAATCAGTTGACTGGGCTCTGAGACTTGCTGCCGTAGGTTTTCTTTTACTGTGTAGACATATCTTGTGTCAATTATTTTTCAAATTAACTTTATTGAACCTTAAAGTTTGGGTTTGGGTTTGGTATTATGTTCACAGCAAACACACAGAGAAGTCTGATAAAAACATACTCTTCCTGCCAAGTTGCAGTATAACTTTATTTCTTAGAATTCAGAATAATAACACATAAGAACCCCAAACCAGAAAGAGACAAAGCAGGCTGCTCCCTAAAACAAAGAAGCACAGCTCACCCCACCTTACTCTAGGGCTAAGCTAACTGTCTGCAAAACTGACTCTAATCTCAGGCTTCCCTATAGATCGCTGTAGCCTGCAGGTCAGACCAGGAAAACCCTTACTCTTAAAGTATTAGTGTTACAATTTTAACAGTTTTTAATGCACCACATTTGGTTCATATTTTGGGCAAACATTTAGACTGGTACTTAACCAAACCTGTTTGCCTATATGTAGCTTCTAGTTATTTAAAGGACAGTCATGGCTTTTCCCAGTAAAAGCTGGGAGGGTCAGCAATTGTCTGTGTATCACAAATCTCACTTGAGCTAATAGCTTGTTATTAAGGATAAATTAGGCCATGTCAACACAAGCGATCTTACAGCGGCACAACTATACTGATGCAGCTGCACTGCTGTAAGATCGCTTGTGTAGCCGCTCTATGCCAATGGGAGAGAGCTCTCCCGTTGACATAATAAAACCACCTCTACGAGCGACAGTAGCTATGTCAGCAGGAGAGGCTCTCCTCCAGACATAAGGCTGTGCACACTACCACTTATGCTAGCAAAACTTAAATTGCACAAGGTATGTGTGGTTTTTTTTTTACACCCCTGAGCAACATAAATTTTGCCGACATATGTGGTAGTGCAGACATGGCCTTACTACTTTTGCTATTAAGGCCTGGTCGACCGTTAGGTTGACCCAGCTTCGTTGCTCAGGAGTGTGAAAAATCAACGCCCTTGATCAAAGCAGTTAAGCTGACCTAACCCCCGGGGTGGACAGCACTAGGTCGATGGAAAAATTGTTCTGTTGACTTGGCTACCACTTCTCAGGGAGGTGGATTACCTACAGCAACGGGATTACCTACAGAACCCCTCCCATAGGCATAGGTAGCGCTACAATAGTGCAGCTGCAGCCAGGGCCAGCTCCAGGCACCAGCTTAACAAGCAGGTGCTTGGGGCAGCCAAGGGAGAGGGGCGGCACCTGCGGCAATTCAGGGGCGGCAGGTCCCTCGCTCCCTCTAGGAGCGAAGGACCTGCCGCTGAACTGCCGCCGCCAGTCGCGGCATTTCCCCCCCCCAATGGCCGCCGCCGGTCGCGGCTTTTTTTTTTTTTTTGCTTAGGACGGCAGAAATGCTGGAGCCGGCCCTGGCTGCAGCAGCATTTCAAGTGTAGACAAGTCCTTAGAAACAAATCGCTCTTTCAGTTTACTGATGCTCAGTGCACTGACCTGCCAGGGAACTCTTTGCAAGGAGTGGCTAGAAAATCCAGCCATTAATAAGCTTTTATCTTAGTACATGTTTCTGATGGTAACCCCCCTCCCTCCCAGCCCTTGCATACTTGTTAATGAATTTTGTTTTTTATCAATGAAAAGGCTTCTGCTAGAAAAGGACATTTTTGCTAAATGCTTATTTATCCCCTAATCTGGTCACATTTGCTCTTGGAAAGTCATGAGGACACACAATCTTTATATAAATGTTTACCAAAAAATGATGATGTGGACAACCAGTTCTACACAATTTTATTGCACTATGAAATTAAACACTTCGCAACAATGGAAGTACCTTTTTTTTTTTTTTAGGCTACTGACATAGTTTGATGGTTTTGTGCAAAACAGAGCAGACAAACTCCTGTTAAAATAATCTTTTCTACCGAGAAGAAGAATGAAGTTAATGGATTAAAATCAGGCAACTAAAGCAAATAAAAGGGACTTAGAGCAAATGCTGTCTCTTAGTAGGTACAGTAGCACACATGCCTATTTGGGGCTTAATCCTGTATCTTTTAATTCAATGGGAGCTTTGCCATTGACTTCAGAGGGGGCAGAACTAAGCCCTTGAAGCATAGTCTACATATATAGTTTAATTAAAATTGGAAGCCCTTTGGGGAGGGAATATCTGACTATAGGTTTATAAAGCAATGTATCAATTGATTATGCTATGTCTTAGCTACAGAGTAAATATTTAAACTAGTATATGTTTATTCTTTCCTACATCATTATTTTAGTGCAGGAAGTTTTAATATAATGGCAGACGTTGAAGATCTCCTAATATACAATCAGAAGTGTACTAACGACTTAGATATTTTTCTCAGCTCCACTATAATAATAACACAGTTGGGGGAGGGGACGGGGACCGAGGCCACTACAGATGCTACAGTGGCACAGCTACGGTGCTGTAATTATGCTGCTGTAGCGCCATAGTATAGGTGCCTCCTACACTGATGGAAGGGATTTTTCTGTCACTGTAGGAACTTCATCTCAGTAGCTAGGATGATGGAAACATCAGGAGATGGGCTAAATCAGAACATCCCGTGCTGCCTACATTTGGGGCTACCCTGACCCCGTGTGCCCAGGGGTTAGATTGGCATAGTCATGGCGCTCAGGGGTGTGATGTTTTCACACCTCTGAGTGCAATAGCCATGCTGACCTAACTTTTAAGTATAGATCCGGGCTAAGTTACATTATACTTATTGTATTTTCCTTTCCAAAGATGGAGCCCTGCTGTTTGACCAAGTACCATTGGTGGAAATTGATGGGATGAAGATGGTGCAGACCAGAGCCATTCTCAGCTACATAGCTGCCAAGTACAACCTCTATGGGAAGGATCTGAAAGAGAGAGCATTGTACTATAACACTCCCTTTTGCTTAATAAACTACAATGAATAGCTATATTATTACCAGTTAACACTTATGTAATACTGTAAGTTGAGTATGAAAGGGTGAGAAAAAGCTGTTATGCACTAAGGGGCAAATTCTTTGGCCCTTGATGGGTTTTAACCATTGTTTCTGAAATTATGCTGAAAGGATCAGGCCCTTAGTGTTGTAGGTTTTTATTTTTGTTTTGTATTGTGTTTTGCTGAGTAAATTGGGATTGCAAAACCAATAGTAAAGAATTCCAAGTATTTGCAGTTTTGCTGTGGGTGAAACTTCTTACAGGCACAGCAGTCATAGCTTGTTCTGTGATACAGTACTATAATGGTTTTGCTGCCGTTACCTGACAACACTGGTTCTGTGGATGAAAAGGACTTGAGCTTCCAGGGCTGTTAACCCAGAATCTTTGATAAGCAATAGGTTTACTTTAACAGCAAAAATAAATGAATAAGAAGAACCACTCACCAGAAAAACGTTGCTTGCATGTCTGCATTGTCATTAAAAAGGGAGCAAGGCATGAATGCAACAGTGAAATTTTAACAGCGCTATCATATAACACAAAAGCCGATTATACAAACATTAATGGATCATAAAAAATTGCTTTTACTAATTTGCAAGAAAAACCTGAAATAATTTGAACATGCTTTCTTCTCTCCCCTCCCTCCAGAATTGACATGTATGTGGAAGGAACAGCTGATCTCATGGGAATGATCATTACCTTTGCTTTCACTCCACCTAAGGAGAGGAATCTTGCCTTAATCATTGAGAGGGCCACAACCAGATATTTCCCAGTCTATGAAAAGGTAAGTGATGGTGAGGCAACAATTTACAGTCATTTCATTACATATCATTGAATGAAGACATACAATATAGGCACTAGAACAAATGCTTCTGATTGCAATGAACAATATTCTGTTGCCAAACTGAACAAAAGGAATCGAATGATCACCCCCCCTATTTTAGATAGATGTCTAAAAAAGGAGTAGATCTGTCATTGTAAGTGCTCAGTGTTCAGAAATGTAATTACCGGTACTTTATGGTCACTATTACCTAGTGGTTCAGCTATATTCACCTCTTTAACCAGATCCTGTGTGCCACTTAGGACTAAATCAGGAATTGCCTTTCCCCTTGTGAGTCGCAGGAGTAGCTGCTCCAAGAAGCAGTCATTAATGGTGTCTAGAAATTTTATCTCTGCATCCCATCTTGAGGTGACATGTATCCAGTCAATATGGGGATACTTGAAATCCCCCCTTATTGTTGAGTTTTCTGTTTTTGTAGCCTTTCTAGTAGTAGTATATTCCTACTGCTATAGTCCTATTATTCAAGCATGGAATTTCTACCCATAGAGATTCTATGGTACAGTGTGAGTCATTTAAGATTTTTACTTTATACTTTCTTTCACATATGGTGCCACTCCCCCACCAGCATGACCTATTCTGTCATTCCCTGGTATTACCAAATCCCATTGATTATCATCATTCCATGAAGTTTCTGTGATGCCTATTATATCAATATCCTCATTTAATACCAGGCACTCAAGTTCACCCATCTTAATATTTAGATTTCAGCATTTGCACATGAGCACTTATAAAATTTGTCAATATTTAGTTGTCTGTCTTCGTGCAATGTATTTGAATGGGACTCTTTTTCATTTGACTGTTTCTCTTCAGTTCCTACCTGTACTTTATCAGTTTCTGTCCTCTCCTCTTTACTAGGCTATAGAATAACTCCTTTAATAAATTCTCCCCTAAGGTATGTCTCTGTCTGAACTATGTGTTCCTCAACACCTGTCAGCTTTCCCTCAGCCCTTAGTTTAAAAGCTCCTCAATAACCTTTTTAATGTCATATGCCAGCAAGCTGTTTCCATTTTGATTTAGGTGGAGCCCATCCTTCCTGTATAGGCTCCTCCTTTCCCAAAAGGTCCCCCAGGTTCTAATAAACCCAAGTCCCTCATCTGAACACCACTGTCTCATCCATGCATTGAGACACTGCAGTTCTGCCTGTTTAACTGACCCTGTGTGTAGAACTGGAGCATTTCAGATAATGCTACCATGGACGTCCTAGACTTCAATCTCTTATCTAGCAGCCTAAATTTGGCCTCCAGGACCTCTCTTCTACCTTTCTCTATGTCACTGGTACCTACATGTACCACAACCACCATCTCCTCCCCAGCACTGCACATAAATCTATCTAGATGTCTTGAGATGTCTGCAACCTTTGCAATTCACGATGCAGTTCTCCCAGTCACCATAACCCCAAATATCTATATTTATGATAATCAAGTCCCACATTACTAATACCTGTTTCTTCCTAATAACTGGGGTCCCCTCCCCCAGAGGGGTATCCTCAGTGTGAGAGAACACCATGACATCATCTGGAAGAAAGATCCCAACTATGGGATCATTTCCCTCGCTGCAGCTTGATGTTGTCCTTCCCCGAGACTTTCGTCCTCCTCAAAAGCACAAAGGCTGTTGGACTAGGGGTGGAACCATTCTACTGGGGGAGGGGTAGCTCAGTGGTTTGAACATTGGCCTGCTAAACCCAGGGTTGTGAGTTCAATCCTTGAGGGGGCCACTTAGGGATCTAGGGCAAAATTAGTACTTAGTCCTGCTAGTGAAGGCAGGGGGCTGGACTTGATGACCTTTCAAGGTCCCTTCCAGTTCTAGGAGATGGGATATCTCCATTAATTTATTTAATTTATTTACTGTGACCTGGAAAGTCTCATCTATATACTTCTTGTACTTAGGTACAAGAATTCAGACTTCTTCTATTGCAGCTATTAATACTAGTGTTGTATTCAGAGAGTGGGATTTGCCAAAGCACTTGAGTGATTGAGGAGCACAGGTGCTAATGAATCACGTAAGTGCTTTTGAAAATCCCACCCAGATGCTTCATACAAGATTGTTACACAGACCATGACCTTGCTATACTTTGAAAGTATCACACTGAGCTCAGTTGTCAGTATTTATCCAGTGTATATGTCTCTTTCATACCCATAACATTTATGTTCCCTTGTATTCTGTAGGTTCTGAAACAACACGGGCAAGAGTTTCTTGTTGGCAACCGATTCAGCTGGGCAGATGTACAGCTGCTTGAAGCCATTTTAATGGTAGAGGAGAAAGAGCCCACTGTGCTTTCCAAGTTCCCTGTGTTACAGGTAATTCTGTTACTAAAGCTCAACCAGCAACTATAGAATTGTGCAGAACAAAGACTTCAAGTTGCTCATTTAACATGAGTTCCTGGGCTGATTCTGATCTCATTAAAACGGTGTAAATCAACAGTAAGCTCTTTGGAGCATGAGCAGTAATTTTCTGTATGTTTGTACAGCACCAAGCACAATGGGGTGTTGATCTGGTTGGCCTCTAAGTGCTACCATTATGTAAATGTTAAGTAATAATAACAGTAGAAGTCTGTGTAATTAAGGCGATTTAAGCTCTTCTAATGAGCTCTGTTTCTTCAAAACTAATGTGTGAAGTTTTTATTTATGAAGTAGTTGGATGTTGTTTCCTTACTCTTAGGGCTTCTGTTGTTTCTCATTTCAGGCTTTTAAAGCAAGAATAAGCAACATACCTACAATTAAGAAATTCCTACAGCCTGGCAGCCAGAGGAAGCCCCCACCTGATGACCAATATGTGGCGACAGTGATTGAAATTTTCAAAAAAGATTAAATGCCAGGTTCCATTCAGAGAGGTCATCAAAATCTAAAAAGAACAGGCCAGTTTAGATGATCAGCACTACCATAATTAAAAGCAATGACATTCCAATGACAGAAAATAGTATCTAATTACTCTTGCTGTTTGAGTGATTTGTTTTAATGAGTGTCAAGTCCTTGATAAAATATGAAAACAAAAGATTATTTGGGATAGTGTCTGCATCTTCCTCTGCATTTGGAAGGAAGCTGTCACACTGTTGCCACTATCAGAATATAAATAATAATAAGAAGCAGCTTATCTCTAGATGCAAATAGGTGTTAAAACCTCAACTCTGGAGCAGGAAAGAAATTCCCATGAGTTATGACCCCTTAAAGACATTGACTTGTAACTTTCTAGTACGGTATGTACTACACACACTGTTCTGAACTTATTTATAGATGAACTATTAACCAATAATGGGCCAGAAACATCTTTGCTTTACAGTGGTTGCAGGGTACAGTCTCAGAGTATGACACCCCGGGCATTGTGTGGCACTGGAGTCACCCTGCCTCAGTTTCTTCTAATCCTCAAAGATTCTTATGGCCTTCAGCATAGTCCCGTTGCTGAAGGAAGGGGTTGTCTACACTTAAAATGCTACAGCAGAACAGCTGCGCCACCGTAGTGTTTTGGTGTAAACACTACATACGTCAACAGGAGGGGTTCTGCACCCTGCACCCCACCTTCCCGAGAGACGGTAGCTAGGTCAAGGGAAGGATTCTTCCATCAGCGCTGTCTAGACTGCGGGTAAAGTTGTCTTAACTACGCTGCTCAGGGGTGTGGATTTTTCACACCCCTGAGCAACATAGTTAAGTTGACTTCATTTTCTAGTGTAGACCAGGCCTATTCACAAAAGTACAGCTCTCCTGGAGTATCAAAGTCCAAACAAACACAAAACAAAAGTGTCCCACCTTAGTCTTGGTCTCCACTAGAAAATTATGTTGCTTTAACTACTTCAGTCAGGGATATGAAAAACCCACCCCCCTGAGCAGCATAGTTAAGCCAACTTAAGTCCCCGTGTAGCAGCGCTAGGTCAATAGAAGAATTCTTCCACTGCCCTAGCTATCGTCTCTTGGGGAGGTAGATTACCTACGCTGATGGGAGAATCCCTCCCGTCAGCATAGTTGGTATCTACACTGAAGTGCTTTCCCTCTGGTCTTTCCTAGCCTGGCTCAAACTTCTTCTCTCTTGAAACAAGGTACCCACAGCCTCCCTCCACTGCCTGGGGCTGTGCTTCAGTGCTGGCAGGCCTCCCCTGCCCACCACGGCTCTGTTCTACCCTAGGGGATGCTTCTTCCTGCAGGGCTCTCCTGACTCCAGGCTCCCCATTTCTGAACTAACAACTAAGAGGCTGGTCTAATTTTCCAAGCAGGTCTGCTCTTAGTCACCTGGCCGTTTGTGACACAACCTCATTCATCTCCTCCCTCTGGGGAAGGGAGCGAAGTCTGGCACAGGTGCCGCTGAGCCCCAGTCTCCTTGAAGGGCCAGCTTATGCTGTGACAAGCAGCTTCTGAAAGCATTGACCAGGCTGTAGTGCCTTCCTGGGGACATACAATCCAAGGAGGGGGGAAGAGGTAGTGGCAGTGCAAAGCAGCAGCCTTCACCCAGGGCACACGGGGTCAGGGTAGCCCCAAATGTAGGCAGCATGGGATGTTCTGATTTAGCCCATCTCCTGACACTTCTGTGGAACCCTCGGTGGAATTAAAGCTTTTCCTAACCGGCAGAACTTCTGAGGGAGGGCAGCAGAGGGAGAGCCCCACTCCGGGTGAATACTTCTACAGCACAGCAGGCCATCCTGGCATGGGTTCATCTTCTCAAGCTTTTTTCTACACCCATGAGGAAACTTACCATTGTTTAGTTGGTTTGGTTGGCGGGGGTGGGGGGGGGCTTGTTTTGTTTTCTGTTTTCTTGGATTTTGTAAATGAAAGCTGAGACTCTCACATAATTACCTGACTGCAGAGCTGGGGCTTTAAGACAAATACCAAATATCATGAGACTCATTATAAAAATCACCTGAGCTGGCAATACAGTAAGTGAGCTGCACTGGGGCTGATGCACCTCAGAGTGCAGTGCCTCCTACTACCACTGGAGGATTCCCAATGGGACTGAAACTGTTCCAGCCCCCGCAGGCTTGCAGAATACCCAGCTGCCACCGGGGTTTCCTGGTTCTGCATACTGACCTACGTAAAGCTCTATGGAGTCAGGAGGTGGAGCTACAATCTCATAACTTGAAAGCATATTTCGTTTAAGAAGGAAAACAGCTGAGAGAGCCACAAGTTGGAACAGGTTTGTACTGAGGGGTACATGCAGGCATTTTCCTTAAATTCTAACCTGTTGGGCATGAATGGAGCAGCAGGTTGTGCTAATTTCTTTACTTGCAGCAAAGGCAGTCTGATTGCTCGCAGTCTGATTGCTCAGAGCCTCCTTGGGAAGGGAAGAAAGTCCAAGGGTTGGAAGTGGGGAGGGGAAAGCAGGAAGGAATCTCAGAGAAGGGAGGCAGCGTTTAGTTTGCTGAGCGAGGACAGAGCAAATGGGGAGACAAGAGATGAGCAAGTGAGAGTGAACTGGAGGGGAAGCCAGGAACTGAGGGTCTGCTTTCTCTGAGTGCATCAGGCAGAATGTGTGAGACTGACAGACAGACAGCAGTAAAAGCTAGCTACAGCGATCAGATCTACAAAAATAAAAATCCCCTCCCCCTCTGCTCCCTGACTCCTGGGTGTTGGTCAGAGGAAACCACTTGCCATTTTCACCGAATGCTGCAGAACTGCTTTATTAATGTAAGCGGGGGAATGGTCCCGCTATTGTGGGGAACTTTCCTGGCTTCTGCACTACCCCGGTGAAGTGGGCTAGCGAAAGGATCTGAGTCCTCGCTCCCACTTCCTTTACCTAGAGGCCTCCCTGCCCTTGAGGACTCCCCTTCCACTCTCCTGTCTGGCAGAGTCCTCGTAAACCCCTACAAGGCTGGGCCCAGGATTCCTGGGGGTCTCGACCCCCAACCCTGCTGTGGTCACCCAGGACAGGGGCTAGGGTGTCCCCACTCCGGGGTACTCTCTCTGCACTGGGCACCTCCCTGACCCACTGATCATTTCATACAATTTAAAGCAAATACAAGTTGTTTAATTAACAATTAATTTAAAAAAAAATAAGGAAAAATGGGAAAAGTTAAAGGAAAACACGTCACCCCGCTCTGTGGCAGGGAACATCACAAACAGTGTCTCTGGAATGTCAGGGCAGTTCACAGTCTGTTCCTTGTAGGTCCCAGGCTCCTTCTCAGGCCCTGGCTGTGCTGCAGAGACGCTGCTGGTTGGACACTTGCTCTGACAGTGGCCACATGCTCTCAGGCTCTAGGTGGCAGGACCCTTCTTCCCAGCATTGCCCCTGCCCTGTCGGGGTTACGATCCCCCCAAGTCTGGCCTGCAGAGCCTCTTGGCTGAGGCGTCTCCCTGTGCTGGGCCCACTGCCCAGGGTCCCCCTCCTCTCCCCAGCTGCTCACCGCACCCAGCTCCGGACCGCTCCAGCTCCACTCTGCCTCAGCACGGCTGCTGCTCTGCCTTCAGCTCCCTGGGCTGCTTCTCTGGCTCTGGTTGCTGCAGCTCTGCTCCCAGGACAGGTGTGCTCTCTCTGGGGTGTGCTCTGGCTTTGTGGCTGCAGCTCTGCTTCCAGCAACTTAGCTCGGGCCCCTGCTCTCTCCTTAGCTCGGCCCCACTCTGTCTTACTCAGGCCATTCCAGTTCACATGGAGAATGGGACCCCTCCTGACTCCCTGATTAGCCTGCCCGCCCTGTCAATCAGGCTGATCTGGAGCATTGGCCTCTCCCCATTGTTCCCGGGGACCGTCAGTCTCAGGCTCCTGATTTCCCATCGACCCTTCCCCTTTTAGTGCTGGGAGCTAGCCAACCAAAACACCCCCACTGAATGTTAGTAAGGAGGCAACAGTCCCCTTACATTAAGACTTCATTTTTGTCACTGAAATCTTGTCAAAGAAAACAACTGTTGGCAAAGATACAGTGAGGAGGCCATATTAGAGCGCAGCTCTATTTAAAACGAGTCTGGCCCATTTCTACGTAACCCACTTTCAGCATTTGGAAAACTTTAAGAGACAGGAAATAATAACCCTTCAATGCCTAAACTAAATGAACAGCTAGAGAGTATCTTAAAAGGAAAGGGAGGAGATTGTTTGTTTGCTTTTGCGACCCCTCCTCTTCCATACCCCAGCTACAATTAATAAATAGGTGCCTTGGTTTACAGTCAGTGATATGATTTTTATATTGCATAGTTACTGGAAGAATATTCTGCTACTAGTATCTACATGATTTGTTACTATGTGTGTCAAAAATGATGTGACGCATAGGAATGTACGGGCAATAATATGCTAGCTGATAGTTCAAAGTTTCTGAGCACTGGCAGCTCTAGTTGAAAAAAACAACAGGGTGTTTATTTGGGTATCTACTCTTACGCACGTAAGTTTGAAAACATTGGCATTAGGCTTTACTTCTGCAAGCAGGTAGGACTAATTTGGCATCTTCCAAGCAGTGCACATTAAGCCAGAATCAGACTCCCTTCTGCACATCATTTTTCCCCCCTTGCCATAATATTCATTAAGCCACAGAGGTGATTTTTGGGTATGCTGTATAAGGCAGTATCGGTATATTTTAAATATAAGCTCACAACCTCTAACATTCTCCCAAAACAAATTCACATAAAAAAGTTCTGCTTTGATCTATGGACAACTGAAAATTTTTTTTACAACTGTGAAAAATGTTTTTCCTTGCTTTCCTTGTCAGGAAATCCAAATCATGGCTACAAAACCCAAGCTTTACTACTTTAATGGAAGAGGCCGAATGGAAACGATAAGATGGCTGTTGGCAACAGCTGGGGTTGAGGTTTGTTCATAACGTATTAATTAAGATATCTCATAAAGATTGTTTGATTGAAAAGATTTTTCCAAGTTTTAACTCACTGAAGCTCAATCCACAGTTCCGAACCCAGCAGGACATGAGTGATCATGTGCCCCTAGGTACACAGAATAAGACTTCTATACCAGAGGTTCCCAAACTGTGGGCTGAAGCCCAAAGGTGGGCTGTGACACAGTCTCAGGTGGACTGGCATGGCTGGAGATGGAAGGGTATGGGGGGGTGGCGTTGCCCCCCAAACTGTATACATTGGTGGAGTGGCAGCTGGCGATGACCCCCTCCCAGGGCTGGAGAAGCCCAGTGCCCCTGGCAGGTGGCAAAGGGCGAAGCGAAGCTGGTGGGTGGAGGGTGAGGAGAAGGGACTGGCCCCAAGAGGCGGCAGCTTCCAGGGTGACTGGAGGAGGCTGGAGGATTTGTGGCCATTCCCGCAATCTGGGGCTCAGCGGTGCCGCTCTGTTTCTGCCTGGACAATGCTGTGATTGACACCATGAAGGTAACGGCTGGGCCTGACCCGAGTGCCTGCCTCTGCCCAGCACTGGCAGCCTGCGAGCCCTTCCCTTGTACCTGGGCAGGGGGTGCCAGGTGACCAGCTCAAGGCACTCAGAAGGCTGCTGAAGAAGGCACACACCTCTCACGGGGTCTCTCTCCCTGACAGTCGCATGTTAATAGTGGGCCACAGTACATATTGCAGCTGTACAAGTGGGCCTCAGGGAAAAAGTTTGGGAACCCCTGTTCTAGAGCACCCTCCACCCAGGACTGGTGCAAGGATGTTTTGCACCCTAGGTGAAACTTCCACCTTGTGCCCTCCCTGAGCCCTGCGGCAGCTCCCCGCCCCCCCCCCCGCCCTGAGGTGCCCCCCCGCGGCCGCCCCCCCCCCCCCCCCTGGGGCCCCCCCCCCCCCCCGTGGCAGCTCCTCGCTGTCCCGGGGAGCCGTGCGGCAGGTCCCCAGCCCAGCTCACCTCTGCTCTGCCCCCTCCCCGAGCCCTGAGGCGCCCCCCCCCCGGCCCGGGGAGCGTGCGGCAGCTTCCCACCCCAGCTCACCTCTGCTCCGCCCCCTCCCCGAGCTCGCCGTCGCTGCTCCACTTCTCCTGCCTCCCAGGCTTGCGGCGCCAACCAGCTGTTTGGCGCGGCAAGCGTGGGAGGGAGAGAAGCAGAGCGGGGCGGCGTGCTCAGGGGAGGAGGTGGAGCAGAGATGAGCTGGGGCGGGAAGTGGGTCCCCTGTGTGCTGCCTCCCCCCCCCTACCTGGCGGCGGGCGGCCCCCCCCGCGCGCCCCCCCCCCCGCCCCAGCTCACATCCACTCCACCCCTGCCCCGGAGCGCGCTTTTGTCCACCCACCAACCACTTGGCACCCTAGGCAGCCGCTTAGTTTGCCTAGTGGTTGCACCGGCCTTGCCTCCACCCAAGGATCTCAAAGTGCTTCACAAACATCAGCAAATCCAGACTCCCAGAACAGTCAGGTTGGTAGGCAGGCATCATTGGGTATGTATACACAGCAAAAACGAGACCCATGGCAGGAAGTCTCAGAGCCCAGGTAAATGACTCAGGCTTGAAGGGCTCGTGCTAGGGGACTAAAAATAGCAGCGTAGACATTCAGGCTCAGGGTGGAGTCTGGGCTCCAAGACCCTCCCCCCTCGCCAAGTTTCAGAGCCCAAGGTTACAGCCCAAGCAGGAATGTCTACACTGCTATATTAAGCCCTGTAGCGTGAGCTCCACGAGCCTGAGACAGTTGACCTGAGCTCTGAGACTCACTGACAGAGGGATTTTTTGCAGTGTAGATATACCCTGTATCACTATTTCCTAATCACTTGCCTGAGATCATACAGGATGTTTCTGCCAGAGCCAGTAGAATCCAGATCTCCCAACTCTTATTCCTGGGCCCTAGTTACAAGGTCATATTTGTCCCATAAGGCAGGAAAAACCCAGGGCTTAGTACTCCTGGGGGAATTTTGTGCCACTGCGCGTGCGTAGAATTCATGTCTCCCACAGATTTCTTTGCTTCCCCGCAGAAAAATGACTTCTGATGGGGAAGCAAAGGGAAGCCGCAAGAGTGGTCACGTGCCCCTCCCCAGCAGCGCAGGCAGGTTGGTTTGGGTGCCCAGAACAGCCGGTTTAGACGTAAATCACCACTGGCCAGCCATGTGTGTGAGAGAGAGAGACACTCTGGCCCTCTCGCACGCTATTGCAGCACATTCGGCGTGGAGGGGCAGGGCTTCGGGATGTTTCTGAGGAGGTAGGCATGGGGCAGGCTCTGTCCCCTCAGGCAGAGCAGAATGTAGCAGCCTGCCTGCTTAGTGAATTGCTCCCATTGTCTTTGTGAATTCTTCCACAAGTATAAAACAGGTGTAAAAGTTTTAAGGCCCCTTTACATTCCCAAAGCGGTGTAAAGGACAGTATGGCCTTATAAATGCTTATGGTGCTTTAGTGATTAAAACTGGTCTAAATTTTTGGACTGAAAAACTTTCCTATCAAATCTTTCTGGAGATGGTCAGTAGCCAATATAAATTGTGAGTTTGATTCCCCAGCCCTCACTTTCTCTTCAGTTGCCTATGATGTAACACTGAGTATATGGCGGCATATATTAGTTGACTAATAACTAGAAATAAAGGGTCAAACCTAGCTACATTACTATTAGGAAAGGGGGGTTGGGGATTTCCTCCAATGCTCCCTACTCCCATTCTTCATCCATTGTATTGTAGTTTAAATTAATTACCAAAATAATTGAAACCAGAGTGATTATATTGCATTATTTTGACAAAATATGCTGAATTTTAAAATATTGTGCACAGAATTTTTAATTTTTTGGTGCAGAATTCCTCTAGGAGTAGTTTAGTGTACATTCTGCTTTCCACACTTTCTCCTTAGTCACTGTGCTAACAGCACCCAGCAAGGCTTACATAACTGGATGTTAGCAGATATTAGTTTCCAAGTAAGCTTGTGAAAAATTCTTACACAGAATTATGTTCGTCTGTCTGTTAAACATGATAACAGAAAAGAAGCTTAGATGGCTGCTGCTAAAACACTGATACCACTTGCCATCAGTTTTTATGCTAACCAGACCCCTAAGGTGTTTAGCTGCACAGAATAACCGCAGGGATTGTACTGACAGTTTCAAACATTCTGATGATCCCTGACTCCCATGAATTGTTCTGTGCTTCCAAGGGGATCTTAGCCATCTTTGAGTTTGAGGTAATGAACCTGATGAGATCAGGTGGGGTACAGAGTAATAGCAGCACAAACTTTTATTTAGGTCATTCACTGCCTCATTAGATCCTTCTCTTCTCACGTTGGATATTTTGGGATGTGTCTCCTATATTAACCCCTTTATGAGAAGCTATTAAGCAAATATCCCCTAACTAAAATCTTCACTTATGATTTCTGAGATATAGCTATCTAGTTCCTCTTGTCCCTTTGTTTTCCAGTTTGAAGAAGCTGAATATTTGGAAACAAGAAAACAATATGAAAAGTTACTTCAGGGTAAGCCTGCAGAATAACAGCTAAATTCTCCCCTTAGGTTCTGCTCTCTGGAGTCATATAGTTGGAGTTGGAAGGGCTGACAAGCAGCTTCTGTGTCTCACATTTGATCCACTACTATTTTGCTCTCCTGCAAAAGTGTGGATCTACATATCCAAAACCAGAGCTGGTTTTAAGGGCTGAAATAAGCAGCACAGATATACTATAGACCAGCGGTGGGTAACCTGCGGCCTGCAGACCGCATGCAGCCTGTCAGGGTAATCCACTGGCAGGCCACCAGACAGTTTGTTTACATTTGCATGGCCGCCCACAGCTCCCAGTGGCTGCGGTTCGCTGTTCCCGGCCAATGGGAGCTGCGGGAAGCTGCGGTCAGCACGACCCTGCGGCCCACGTCACTTCCCGCAGCTCCTGTTGGCCGGGAACAGCGAACCGTGGCCACTGGGAGCTGCGGGCAGCCATGCAAATGTAAACAAACTGTCTGGCGGCCTGCCAGTGGATTACCCTGACGGGCTGCGTGCAGCAGGTTGCCCACCACTGCTATAGACACAATAGTATAGCACTGTCACATTGCAAAGTGTCATTATTTAGTGGCACTCTCACAACATAATGTTCTATGTTTTGTAGGACACCTCTATCTTATATTAAATGTATATATAAATATATAGGTCTCCTTATAACTTGATGGGGGCCCCACAGTTAACCGAATCACATCTGCATCTCTTCTGGTGAATCTCTAAAAGAGAGTTAGGGGATAGTTATAGGTTAAGCTCTGCAAGGGAGTGATTAGGTTGAAAAATGTGCATTTTACAACATGACATTCCTACTCTTCTGTCACAAAAAAGAAGCTTTGATTTGGAAGCAGTTTACTTAGAGTATGTGGAAGTTGACTTCAGAAAAAATAAGTTAAGTATCTCAATTTCCAGACATGCTGCTGGTTGGTAGCTGTGTGGCTGCACAGGTGTTTATATCCCTTACTGATGCTTTTCTGATAGAGTCAAATGCAAAAGCTAGCACTGGCATGCATTTTATGGGTCTGTGAAAAATTCTGTAGAATTTTAGGTTCAGGGATCAATACACTCCAAGACAATGGTCTAAGTGGCAGCTGAAGAAATGTCATTTATCTCAATCCGAGGGCAATGATCAGACAATTTACAGGAACTAAATGACTCAATTTCTTTTCCTTTCCAAAGATGGATCCCTGCTGTTTCAACAAGTGCCCATGGTAGAAATTGACGGGATGAAGATGGTGCAGACTAGAGCCATTCTCAACTACATAGCAGGGAAACACAACCTCTATGGGAAAGACCTGAAGGAGAGAGCACTGTACTGTACTGTAACAGACTGTACCATAGTATTGTTTTAAAAGCTGCTTTAGATAAAATGAAAAATACTTATTTGAAAATGAAATGAAAGCTTTGTATTCAAATTAACAAAAATGAGGACTCTCTCATTTCTATGGAAATGAAATCATCCTTCCAATTATCTTTTTTATATATTTGATTTAGTCTTTAGATGCAGGCTGATTTCTGATAGGATCTTTTCTGAACTGGACCATCTAACTTGCCATTCCTCTGGAAAGTCTATCAATATACAAATAACTTTTACTCCCTCCTCTAAAGTGAACCGTTTCTGTTATTATGTGCCTGTTCAGAGGAGACCTGTCACATCCCCTTCCAGCCATTTCCAAAATGACGATAGGAAAGTTAGAGCAGCTATGTACAAATTTATTCCAAACTGAAGTGATTTTCTGAGATGTGTAATGGATTGCAGGATCAGGACCTGTGGGCAGACTTCTGAGCCCAGGCAGGGCTCCATTTACTTCATGAGCTCCAAGAAGATGAACTAGTGCACTCACACACAATGAGTGGCAGGCCTGGGGCTGTAGCCTCTATCCACCAGTTTTTGTTTGGGTTTTTTTGAGCTCATTACTGCTGTATTGGGGCAGGTTTTGTAATTATTCTTTTAAACAAGGATATTCAACCTTCAGAATCTCTCTCTCCCTTTCCCCACATTTTTTAAAAAACTATTTAGTTTGGGAAAGCTCATTCAAAAATCTGAGCTTTGCCATTCCTCCCCCACCCCCTTGCAGGCAGAGATTCACTCCCCAGGTGACAGATGCTCTGCTGCTTGGGTATGGCCTTATGATACAGGCATTGTAGCATCATGCAGTAGAATGACTTAGTAAATTAATCATTGACATTTCTTCAATTATCATTTTTATGGCAGGATTGATATGTATGTTGAAGGAACAATGGACCTGAATGAAATTATCATGCTTTACCCTTTCTCATCTCCTGAGGAAAAGGAGAAGAATTTTGCCTTAATGATTCAGAGGGCAACCAACAGATACTTCCCAGTGTATGAGAAGGTATATGGCAACTACAGAACATTGCAATAGTTGGACAGAGGGTGGGAAGGAGGGGGGGATGTAAGTGAGTTTTTGTTTTTTACATTAGATCCTATTTTTTTTTAAAAAATCAAGTGTTCTCTTAGGCATCTCTCTCTGCTGATGTTTCCCCATCTGTAAAATGGGGCCATAAACCATTGAATAAAGAGGAGGAAAGGAGGACAAAAAGCAATTGCAATGGCTTTGTTGTCTTCCACCTGTCATCAGCCATGTATATTCATATGACTGTTCTGTCTCATGAAAGAGTGAGGTGCCTTTTCTTTTGCATGATGACTTGGGCCCCAGTCTTGAAACTGGGTCTGTATGGATGGACCCCTATTCCTGCACATAGTCCCGTTGGCTTCAGTCAGATGTTGGTTTCAGTGGGGCTCTGCACGAATGCAGTAGCTCATTCATATGGATCTTTTTGTGGAAAAGGGACCCATATAAAGACTGATGGATTTTCTCACTCAATGCCACTAGTATGGTAGTTTTGCTGTCCTGGTTTATATATATAATTTTCCCAAATGAAACAGATGTTAAATGAATTTGCTTTGAAAATGTCAGACTGCTTAGTGGTTTCTATTTTTCCAGTGTGTGGCCTATTTGTGCCCAAAAATATATATATTTTTTTCTCATATATAGGTTTTAAAAGATCATGGACAAGATTTTCTTGTTGGCAACCAGCTCAGCAGGGCAGACGTACAAGTACTTGAATCCATTTTAATGATTGAAGAGTATGAGCCCACTGCTCTCTCAGAATTTCCTCTATTACAGGTAATTTTAGGTGGGCAGATCAACAAGTAATATGACACACACTCACAGACTTCCCAAGATGCCCGTTGAGCAGTGATATGCCATGCTTTCAGTTTTAATATGGCTATTTATTTAGCACAATAATTTACACACATTTCACAAATTGTAATGCAATATTAAACTCAGCAGTGCTGCTTGTAAGAGGCAATGAGGTCTGATCCCTGGCCTGGCAGTTCTGAATTGCGCCCTGGTAACTTATCTCCACCATAACCAAGAATGCAGTTACCTACGCTTTAAGCAGTATGCCTGCCCTCACCCCAGATATCAGTCCCCTCACAGATTACAGTGTGCACCCAAGTACACGGTATACTATCCTAAGCCCCTTCTATCTCCCTACAAAGATGCATGGGCATCAGATTCAGAAGATCTTGTGTCTATTCCCAAATCTACCACTGACTCACTGTGTCCTTGGATAAGTCCTGTGTTCATCTCGTTGAGCATCAGCATCACAACCTGGCTGAGACCCACTCTTTGGATGAACACCAGTCTGTTGTGATTGGATCTGACTGCTGACTCCCATGTGCTTCCAAGACCTCTAGGTCTGTGTAGTGATTGAGCCAATGCTTACAGGAAGAGAAATTTGGTTATTTTTCGTACTTTACATGAGGTATAAGTGCACACAGCACACCTGGTCAAGGCACAAGTGATGCTGCTCCCCACTGAGGTACAAATGCCCTGTAATACTCATTGTAGCTGAAAATCATTGTAGGAACCTATCTATTTTTCTCTGCACTTTCTCCATGCCTGTAAGGGAAATATAGTACAAATTAAGACTAAGAAATAGCTCAATTTTGTTTTGCACATTATAGGGAATAGCCAAACACCTGTGCCTCCTGGTATAGTTTGCAAGCCCCTTCCACTTCTGCACCACTTCTGGGGGGGACTAAAACTGTATATTTATTCACCAGGAATCTCGCTTCTGCTCTTTGCTTTTTGGAATAAGACCATTCTTTGCCTCCTACTCACCAGCCTCGGCATAACATCATCAAGAATAAGGACCACCTAAGAGGGATGTAGAGAGGATTACTGTCTAGCTTGCCTCCCATAACCGTCTTCAAAAACAAACCCAGAACATACGCCAACCATACCACACCACCCAACCGAACAGCATGAAAGCAGATACAGTAGACTGAAATCCAAATACACCCAGCACCCTTTGTATACACAGACCACTTCTCATTCTTGGGGGGAAGCTCAGAGATGGGAAGCAAGGTCAGCTCAAGGAAGCAAGGTCACATATACATACTAAAAAAAGCTATCATGACTTGTCTGGGATATGAATAATAAGTGATGGGGTTTTTCCCCCTGCTCCCACCTGCAACAGCCAGACTATTAAGGACAGGGCCTCTATGTACTGCTGAGAGGCTGATCAACCTGAAGGGACCAAAAAGAAAGATTTGGGATGAGACATTTGCAGAACTCATGACAGAGTCACAGGGGAAACCAGGCTGGCTGAGAGGTGGAGGCTGTACATAAGGACGCAGAGGAAGAAAGAAATGCAGCTCTCCCAAGAGATTGTAGCAGTGGCCAAGGCCAGCATCACCATGGTGAAGGAGAGCATGGAAAAAGACAGAGAGATGCAGAGGCAAGTCATGGATGCTATCCTGAGCCAGAATCTCTTCTACAAAACATGCTTTTCTAGGCCAGCAGGCCCTTGGGGCCCGTAATTTGGGAACCAGACATGCCCTTCAGCCCCTAGATAATGCTGGCTACTGGGACCTTCAGCAACTTCTAACCTCCACATCCCCACAGCAGTGCTCCTAGTGGTTCCCATTGACCTCTCAGATCCAGCTTCTAAGCACAAAGAGCACTAGCACATGGCGGTTCAGCTCTTTTGAGCCCTGGAGTCCCTGAGAATATTGAGCTGAGGGGGAAAGGGATAGCTCAGTGGTTTGAGCATTGGCCTGCTAAACCCAGGGTTGTGAGTTCAATCCTTGAGGGGGCCACTTAGGGATCTGGGGCAAAATCAGTACTTGGTCTTGCTAGTGAAGGCAAGGGACTGGACTTGATGACCTTTCAGGGTCCCTTCCAGTTCTATGAGATAGGTATATCTCCATATATTAACTCAACCCCAGAACCTATGTGGACAAGAAGAATCAGAGGCAAGGCTTTTACTCTTCTTTAACTTTATGCACCATCACCCCGCACTCGTATGTGATATTTTTCTTACTGTTGTACTTTGAGCTCAGTTTCAAAAGTCCAAATGAATCCTTAACTACCTTTCTGCAACTATTCAGGTGATAGTTAAAATGTTCCTTCCTTCTGTCCAAACAGCCTGTGTATGGCTTCAGTAGCCAGGGCATCCAGGGATAAACCAGGTCTTCCAGAATAACTGATTGATCCTAGCATCGTGAACTTTCCCAGACCACCCTGCATTAAATGTCTGTGAGCCTGCGGCAGTGGTCCACCAAGCCTTTCTGTTTATCAATTCTACACCTTGGCCAGGGTGTGTGTGTGAGGCAAATGATAGATACATGGGTTCCATCAGTTGCTCCAATACAATTTGGGAATCCCATGCATGCAAAGCCATGAGTGATCCCCTGAGCATTACCTAGTTTAATGACCACACCTTATCAATAGCATAGCAGACCTGCATGAGAATGGTCCCAACAGTTGATCTCCCCATGCCAAATTGGCTTACTACAGACTGGTAACATTCTGGAGTAGCCAGTTTCCAGATATCAATGGTGACCTGTTTCTCCTCGGGTATGGGACAGGGGCACTGCATGTCGGTACGCTGTTGCTGAAACTCTGGTTCTGCACAGATTTCAAAAAAGGTAGCCCTCCCCATTCTGAAGTTCTCTTGATGCTGCTGGTTGCCCAGGTCTGAAGAGCGATCCTCTCCCACTAACCCATACTGGGTTTCCAGGGCCCCAAAATGGTGCTGAATGCTGTTTTAGGTGATTCAGAAACCAGTCCTCTTCCTCCAGCAGCTCAGTATCCTCCTGTTCTTCAATCTCATCCTGCTGCCATTGCTGCAAAATATCCTCCTGCTGTCAGAGGAGTTGCTACTGCTATAGAATATTCTCCTGCTTCTGCATTATCTGCTCAATGGTGTGATGGGAAAAGTCTAATGCAAAATTTGTCTGGCTCCAAGAGCTGTAATACAGCCAAAGCAGCCTGTGCATATTCGCATTTTTCACCATAGCGCCATGGAGCATTGTTGAGTCCATACTAGCCAACAGCAATTCAAAAATGGCATGAACCAGCCCAGAAAGGACGTATAGGGTGGAGACAGTGGAAACCTGGGATTTATTTTTAAATAATTGAACCTGCCTGGCTTCCCACAAGTTACCGCAAAAACAATCCCAGGATGGACACTACTCAGCAGGCTATCCACCAGAGAATGCTACATCCTCAGTTTTCAGCAAACAGCTGCCATGTGTTCACACAATGTGAACTGAAAATGGAACAAGCATTCTATGTGTATGCTCTTGGTGCGACTCGCGATCTGCGAGTTACCTGATGCACGACAAAAAGCTTTAGATTAAACCCCCATGTAGACACAGCCATAGTCAACCCACTAGATGTCAAGCCTCTGCTACATGGTGGATACTGTAATCTACAATGAAGGGTACAATCACGAATGGCATTCACACACACAAAAATGGAATTCATCCTTTGACACAGACCTTTCTGAGACGGTGCAAGCTGAACTATGCGACCCCGGAGCCCTCTGTCCCACCAACGTGGGCTTCCTCTCTCACTGTGGTGCTGTGACAAGCTGCAAACCTCTAGTAGGCACTGCTCTTATACAGACATCCACAGGCAGGGACGCACCTAGCTGAGTTATATGATTGCTTCCAGACACTTACGAACTAACAATAGAGAGGCTCAAGCCAATTCCCCCCCAGCTCCCTTGAGTTGTACCATCCTGCCCTGGTCAGAAGCCTGACCAGTATACATTTATAACCCAGTCCGCCCCCACTCAGTGTGGAGAGGACAGGCAGAAATTTTTGTTCTTGAGCTGAGGTTTCCCCAAGCACTTCAAGCAAAATACACTGTTTTAGGTAAAACATAAAACAGGTTTATTAACTACAGAAAGATGGATTTTAAGTGATTATAAGTGGTAGGCATGACGGATAGAGAAGGTTACCAAAGAAAATAAAAATAAGCGCACAACCTAAGTTCTATAAGCTAACAGGATTTGAATCAAGCGGAGTGTCCCCTTGATATATAGTACGGCTGGTTACAGATCGTCAATACACAGGCTGGAATTCTCCTCCAGCCCGGGACCACCTTCCCCCTTTCAGTCGTTGTCCTCCAGACGTGTTTCCAGGTGTGGAGTTGTGGGGGGGAATGAGGCCAGGTGATTATGTCACTTCCTCTCTTTTATAGTTTCTTCCAGCTTGCTGGAAAGAGCCTTTGCTTGTGACATAGGGGTCCGTCCACCTCCATTGGTCAAGCATTCTCCATTGTCTATGTGCTATCTTTGAGAAGTCTCCATTGTATACAGTTCCTGGGATGACCCTTCGGAGTGTGGATTCCCTTTGATGGGCCATCAGCGTGTCTGGCTCCTCCACTGTAGTACATGAAAGGCTGGTTGTGGGTGTTCCCAACCTCTCAACATACAGTATTTCAGTAACACACACATAGCAAAACTTCATCACTTCACATACAATGATAACACATATAATCCAACAAGATATTAATGTTCAACAGATGAAGACTTTAAAATGATACCTCACAAGGCATATTTTGTTTAAAACGTATCATAATTATATGACAGTGGTGAATATGGGAGTTCCAGGTTGCTGTTTTGAGGCACAGAGTGCTGCAATACCCTTGGCCCATGTGCTGGCAGACACTAGCCCAGGCATGTGGGTTTTGCTGAGTCACAGAGATCAAGCAATTCCCAAGTCACAGTGATCGAGCAGTTCCCATTGTGTGGTGTTTGCATAGTTGAATCATACAGTTGATTAGTGGGAGGTCAATAGCTACCTGCACAGGGATTCTTTGTATGTCACTAGCAAATTTACAGCAGATTTCAGTAACAACCATACAGCACAATGTCATAACTTTATACACACTAATGATAAACATATTTGGACAGAACAACGGGTTTCAGCAGCTCATGATCTTTCATATGTTATCTTACATGGCATGCTTTATATGAAATATCAGAACGATATACACATGATAAATATGGGGGTTACAGGATGCTATTTTGAGGTACAGCATGTCACGCTATCTCCAAATTGTCGTATTCAGTTTCTCCATCTGTAAAATACTTACTCATCTTTGTAAAATGCTTGGAGATCAATGGTTTGAAAAGCTGTGTAGTGCTAAGCAATACTGGTATTTTATTATATCTAATTGCATATTTTAGAAAATGGCATATTGAAAACCAGAGTGACTCCACCAGGCAGTGTAATTTCATAGTCCATTAACATTTATGATAAATGATGTCAATAAGGTTGCCCCAATAAAATGCAGATCTACAGTGCAGAGGAAATGGATTTAAGTAGAATTAACCTGAAAACAAATATAAATCTATATTCAGGGCCTACTGTGTTTCAAAACTTTTTTACTTTTGCATAGATGGCTTGATGGTCAAAGTTTTTCTGCTGGGCTGACAATATTTTATATAAAATGATTGGCTTCAAAGCTGAAATATATGAGCATGTGCCCAGTAGAGCAACAGAATCCACTTGGGTGCACCTTTTCATGTCATGGAACCCCACTGAAGTAAATGTAGCTACACAGGACTATAGGGATCCCTCTGTATGGATGCAGTTGCAGGAGTGATGCCTACATCAGTACATGATCTTTGGGGTCCCAAAGGGGGCTTCTATAGTCCTGATGTATTCCTGTCTTCGTTTACTCAAAAGAGGGAGGAGGCATCAGGCCAGATATAGGGACAGGAAGACTCCTCACTCTTTGTTTCTCTGTTCTCTTTATTTTAGGCTTTTAAAGCAAGAATAAGTAACCTCCCTACAATTAAGAAATTTCTGCAGCCTGGAAGCCAAAGGAGGACCGAACCCGATGACAGAATTGTAGAGACTGTGAATAAAGTTCTGCAATTATAAAAAGAGTTAAAACAACAGCAATAAAGATTTTCACTCAGCATTAGCAGACACAGATGTAATGCTCAGAGAAATCAAGTGTTTTGGTTATGATATGAGTACCAAAAAATAGGAATTAGGAAGCAGTTCAGGAAATAAGTGCATGTGCACTGAAGTATGGCATTCAATCATAAGGTAGTAATCTGTGAAGAGAATGTATTCAGGTGAAATAAATGTCTTCCTGTGAAGTAAACTTCTTACTCTTGCTGTTTATTTTTCACTGTCTAGTCTTGATGCAAGTCTTGTGTGAAATGGGGACCAGGTTCTACAGGGTTCTGAACACATTCTTCACACTACTTGCCACCCTCCACTCCAATGGGAAATGGTTGATGCTGGTCTCTAACGCTGGCCCAAGAAGGTAAATATGGAAAGTGCCAAATACTCCACATGCTTGTAGGCTAAGAAGCCAAACCCCCAAAGTCATACCTTTCCAATCAACCACTGCCAGCCATATGACACCTGAGCTGATGAAGATGTATGCATGGGTAGGAGAACCCAAGGAGGTCCTAATGGACCAGGGGACTAATAAGACATCCCAGTTAATGAAAGAACTGTGTGCCCCTATAAAGATCAAATTTTGAAGACGTCCATCTACCACACCCAAATGGATGGACTGGTGGAAGGCTTCAACGAAACCTGAAGGAGTTACTGCTCCTTCATAGCCAAAGTCCCAAGACATTGGAACCAGTTGCTTCTGCCCCTCCTATTCGCCATCCATGAGGTACTGCAAGCCTCAACAGAGTTTTCCCTGCTTGAACACCTGAATGGATATCAACCCCTGGGGGTGCTGGACCTCCTCCAAGAGACCTGGGAGGAGTTCTTGCATTGTCTAGAACATGATTCGCCTGTGGGAAGACTTGGAGAGACTAGGGGCATTCACCCAGGAGAACTTACTGAGAGCCGAGCAAGAACACACCTACAACAAAGGGGCCCAGTTGAAAGAGTTCACAGCTGGGGATAGGGTCCTGCTACTCCTCCCGATGTCGGAGTCAAAGCTGATGGTACAGTGGTGGGAAAGGTGGGGGCCAGCAGGCCCTTCAGTCCCATAATTTGGGAACCAGACATGCCCTTCAGCCCTTAGATAATGCTGGCTACTGGGACCTTCAGCAACTTCTAACCTCCACATCCCCACAGCAGTGCTCCTAGTGGTTCCCATTGACTTCTCAGATCCAGCTTCTAAGCACAGAGAGCACTAGCACATGGTGGTTCAGCTCTTTTGAGCCCTGCAAAGTCCCTGAGAATTTTGAGCTAAGGGGGGAAGGGATAGCTCAGTGGTTTGAGCATTGGCCTGCTAAACCCAGGGTTGTGAGTTCAATCCTTGAGGGGGCCACTTAGGGATCTGGGGCAAAATCAGTACTTGGTCTTGCTAGTGAAGGCAAGGGGCTGGACTTGATGACCTTCCAGTTCTATGAGATAGGTATATCTCCATATATTAACTCAACCCCAGAACCTATCTTTTGGCAAGAAGAATCAGAGGCAAGGCTTTTACTCCTCTTTAACTTTATGCACCATCACCCTGCACTCGTATGTGACATTTTTCTTACTGTTGTACTTTGAGCTCAGTTTCAAAAGTCCAAATGAATCCTTGACTACCATTCTGCAACTATTCAGGTGATAGTTAAAATGTTCCTTCCTTCTGTCCAAACAGCCTGTGTATGGCTTCATTAGCCAGGCATCCAGGGATAAACCAGGTCTTCCAGAATAACTGATTGATCCTAGCATCGTGAACTTTCCCAGACCACCCTGCATTAAATGTCTGTGAGCCTGCGGCAGTGGTCCACCAAGCCTTTCTGTTTATCAATTCTACACCTTGGCCAGGGTGTGTGTGTGAGGCAAATGATAGATACATGGGTTCCATCAGTTGCTCCAATACAATTTGGGAATCCCATGCATGCAAAGCCATGAGTGATCCCCTGAGCATTACCTAGTTTAATGACCACACCTTATCAATAGCATAGCAGACCTGCATGAGAATGGTCCCAACAGTTGATCTCCCCATGCCAAATTGGCTTACTACAGACTGGTAACATTCTGGAGTAGCCAGTTTCCAGATATCTATGGTGACCTGTTTCTCCACGGGTATGGGACAGGGGCACTGCATGTCAGTACGCTGTTGCTGAAACTCTGGTTCTGCACAGATTTCAAAAAAGGTAGCCCTCCCCATTCTGAAGTTCTCTTGATGCTGCTGGTTGCCCAGGTCTGAAGAGCGATCCTCTCCCACTAACCCATACTGGGTTTCCAGGGCCCCAAAATGGTGCTGAATGCTGTTTTAGGTGATTCAGAAACCAGTCCTCTTCCTCCAGCAGCTCAGTATCCTCCTGTTCTTCAATCTCATCCTGCTGCCATTGCTGCAAAATATCCTCTTGCTGTCAGAGGAGTTGCTACTGCTATAGAATATTCTCCTGCTTCTGCATTATCTGCTCAATGGTGTGATGGGAAAAGTCTAATGCAAAATTTGTCTGGCTCCAAGAGCTGTAATACAGCCAAAGCAGCCTGTGCATATTCGCATTTTTCACCATAGCAGCATGGAGCATTGTTGAGTCCATACTAGCCAACAGCAATTCAAAAATGGCATGAACCAGCCCAGAAAGGACGTATAGGGTGGAGACAGTGGAAACCTGGGATTTATTTTTAAATAATTGAACCTGCCTGGCTTCCCACAAGTTACCGCAAAAACAATCCCAGGATGGACACTACTCAGCAGGCTATCCACCAGAGAATGCTACATCCTCAGTTTTCAGCAAACAGCTGCCATGTGTTCACACAATGTGAACTGAAAATGGAACAAGCATTCTATGTGTATGCTCTTGGTGCGACTCGCGATCTGCGAGTTACCTGATGCACGACAAAAAGCTTTGGATTAAACCCCCATGTAGACACAGCCATAGTCAACCCACTAGATGTCAAGCCTCTGCTACATGGTGGATACTGTAATCTACAATGAAGGGTACAATCACGAATGGCATTCACACACACAAAAATGGAATTCATCCTTTGACACAGACCTTTCTGAGACGGTGCAACCTGAACTATGGGACCCCGGAGCCCTCTGTCCCACCAAAAAATAGGAATTAGGAAGCAGTTACAGAGGCTGAACACCATGAAAGAACACCAACCCCAGGATTATGCGGTGGTACGTCTCCCTGCAGCTGTTTAGCTCCGAAATCCTTCACTTGCTAGGGAAGGATCACAAAAATGCAGATTTTTTTCCTTGAGAGACGGGGGTTGCAAGAACCGCAGAACCACTTCCCGGCCCTGATTCTGAAGAGGGAGGGTGTGTGATGGGGTGTATAAATTCCTCACTGGACAGAAGGGGATTAAGAAGCAACTCTGGGTTCAGGAGACCCTGCCCTTCCGCCTGTGCCAAGCATGCTTGGGATGGAGGCAGGGTTTAAAAGGCAGCCAGACAGCTCAGTTGGCGCTGGCAGGCCAAGGAGGAGGATGAGCTCTGGAGGCTCCAGGGGAGACATGGCTGGATCCTGCAATAAGCCTGGGAATGGGGGGAGCCACAGCCCCCAAGAGACTAGGACCATGGCAAGGAGCCCAGAAGGCAGCAGTCTCCAAAGATGGCCAACTGGGATGCAAAGGAAGTGAGAAAGTGACTCAGGGAAGTTGACTTGAGGCTGACGCAAGGCACTGCAGGGTGAGCGAAGCCGAACCAGCCTCCCAGAGCCCTGAGTCAGAACCCAGTGGAGTGGCAGGGCTGAGGTTCTCCTACTCCACGGAAGACCTGTGCCCACTAGCCGGGGTTGCTGCCAGAGACTAACCATTGGGTGTAGCCGTCACCGTGGGCCCTAACCGCTAGATGGGAGATGTTGCCTGTGGGGGGCGGATAAAGCACACGACCAATGTGGTTGCAAGCTGACTCAAACTCTGTTTATTACAAGCTTTCTTTTATAGTCTTTCTTAACATTACATAACACAATTAGGCTATAATTACACATCTACCGATTGGACAAGAAGGAGAATCATGTGTTTATCACATGTATAGCCCCACACCGATTGGTTCAGATGTTCCTTACATAAGGCCTTATCTTAT